CCAGGTTTCAATCCTGCCTCTGACACTAGCTTTGTGGCTTAAACTCCTAGGCCTCCATTTTCTTTTTTTTTCTTTTGGCCTGCATTTTCTCATCTGCAAAATGGGACAACTTCCAATGAGGCTCAAATGGGACAACATTCCAGCATTATACTGTATTATAAGTGTCCAGTACTAGGGAAGAGAGAGGGCATTAACAGCTTGTATAAAGTGCTGCTTATTTCTGGGCCATTTTCTAGAACCTGGAGGAGAAGCACTTTCTACGAATGCAGTTAGAAGGCACAGTGGAAGATCTGTGGAGAAGGTTCCAAAAGGCACTGAAGAACTACACCAATGCCACAGAAGATCGAAAGCTTGCCTTTGAGACCTTGAAGGCAAAGGATGAGAAGAGCTCCAAAGAGATAGAGATGCAGATGAAAAAACTGCAGAAAATCCAGGTGGGCACTGTTAGCCAGAAATTCCCAGCCTCTTTGTATGACACCTCTTGTTCCTATCACAGAATTTGGAAGTTGGAAGGGATCTCAGTGGCCATCCAGTCTAAGCCATACACAAAGGGCTCTCTACTATAACATACCAACAAATGATTCCCCAGCCTCTGATTGGAGAACTCCAAGGAAGGGGAGCCTACCACTTCTGAAGGCTGCTTATTCTACTCTGGGGTTATATGGTTAGGAGCTTTTTCCTGATATCAAGCCTTAATTGACCTCTTTGCAACTTACATCCAAAACTAAACACACATATCATACACCTTGAGTCTTCTTTTCTCCAGGTTGAACATACCCAGTTCTTCACATGGCATAAGGCCAAGATTCTCATTATCCTGGTTACCCTTCTCTGAACACTCTCCAGCTTATCAATGTCCTTCTTAAACCAAGGTGCCCAGAACTGAACCCTCTACTTTAGATGAGGTCTTGACAGAGTATAGTGGGATTATCGCCTCTTGTCCTGGAAGCTATACCCCTGCTGATACAGCCCAAGATTGCATTAGCTTTTTCCATAGCCATATCATGCTGTTGACTCTGACTGAGCTTGTAGTCAGATCTTTTTTCAGAATAACTGCAAGATAGCCTCATCTTAGGTGTATGGTGTTGAGTTTTTTGTACTCAAGTGCAAAACTTTATATTTAACCCTATTAAATTTCAACTTAATAGACTCAGCCCAGAATTCTAGCCTAGAGGTTCTTAACTTTGTGTAATGGGTCCCCATGGTAATCTGGTGAAGCCTATAGACCCCTCCTCGGAATGATGTTTGTTTCCTACGTTTATAACAAAGGAAATGCTAAATTTCAGTTAGTAGTTAGTGAAAATAAACATGTTATTTTCCCCCATATGAGTTTATAGGTGCTCTGAAATCTATCTTTACCTTGGGGATCCATGGATTATAATTTAAGAACTCCTGCTTGGGCCTGTCAAGATTTTTTTTTTGGGGGGTCAAGTTTCTGTTATCCATTATATCAACTGTTGCTTCCAGCTCTGTGGCATCTGAAAATTTGATAAGCATATCATACAATGCCTTCATCTAAATCATTGACAAAAATATTAAAAAGCACCAGGACAAGTACAGATCCCTAGGGCACTCCACTGGAAACCTCCTACCATACTGACATTGAACTATTAATACTGTTCTTAGAGTCCGGCCATCCAACTAGCTCTGAGTCCATCTGATTGTGTGATCTTTTAGTCCATATCTGTCTATCTTCCCAACAACAGCAGAAGGAGATTCTTTATCAAAAGCTTTGGTGAAATGTAGGTAGGTAAACTAGATTTCCACACCATTCTCCTCTTCTATTAGCGTAGTAAACCTGTCAAAAAAAAGGAAATGAGGCTAAGCTGCTATGGCTTGTTTCTAATGAGGCCATGCTTGCTCTTTAAAAATACTGTTTCCCTTTTTGGATAGTTATAAATTATCTCTTTAAATGATCTTTTGGAGAATTTTGAGTCAAGTTCACTGGCTTATAGTTTGTAGATTTCAGATGTTTCCCTTGTCATCCTGTGGCTCTGCTCCCATTTTCAGTAATCTTTCAAATATCAATCAATCAATCTCAACTGAGGGTATAGTTCATCGGAGTCAGGTGACTTAAAATCACCAAGGGCAGTAAGTATTCCCTTAATGTTTTCTGATGTAGCTTGGTTATCAGCTCAATGTTAGTCTTTCATGATCTATCGTTTCCAGCACAAAGGTCCAACCTCCTTCACAGAGAAAACAGAAACAAAATAATAGTTGAGCAGCTCTGCTTTCTCTCTTTTGTCAATGATCATTGTTCTATCTGCTCCAAGCAATGGTCCTGTCCCTTCTTCACTCTCTTTTGTCCAGTATAATTTTAAAAGCCCTTTTGGTTGTTCTTGGGTTCCCTCAACAGCCACAGTGCATCCTGAGCTTTAGCATTTTTGACACTATTTTTCAGGACCATGCTACACTCTTACATTCATCTCCTGTTACCTGACCTTGCTCCCTCGTTCTGGTCATTTCTTTTTGCAGTGTAAGTTGGTTGGTGAATTTCCAGTGCATCTGTATTGGACTCTTCAGACAAATCCCCTATTTTCTACTCATTGAAATTTGTGTCTTCAGAATTTCACTCTTGAGCATCTCCCATCTGTCCTGACTTGAGGCTGATTTACCCTGAAGCATTTTGGTCCATGGGATTCCATGTTATCTTTCCTCTGAACCCACTGAAATCTGCTTGCTCCAAATCTAGGACACATGTCAGACTGTACCCCGTTTTCCTCTCCTTTATCACAAACTCTATCATTTCCATTTCAGCAACTAACTCCTTTCTGTTAGTGAGAATCAGATTCAAAATAGTTACTTCTCCCTGCCCCGCCCCCCTTTGCTGATTCCTCCACCTTATGGAGGATGAAATTATCACTGAGGTAACTCAAGAAGTTATGAGATGCTCTGCTTTTGATGAAGAGAGAACTCTAGCAGATGTCTGGGTCACCAAAGTTCCTTATCACGACCATATCATGGTTCATGCCAGGTTTGTGGTCTCTTTCCCAAACTTGCCACTATTTCTTCTTTCCGTCCAGGTAGATTATAGTATACTGCAATGATAAAATCACTTGTATTTCTACCTCCTGTGGTCTTCATCCAAATACTCTGACCTACTTTTCCCTCTTGTGTATTTCATCATAAGGATACCTTCTTTTTAAAAAAAATGCTATCCCATTACCCTTTTTTAACCTATTCTGTTTCTTCTGAATAAGGTATACCAGTCATGGTTATGAGGCAGCTAGGTGGCTAAAGCACTGGGCCTGGAGTCAGAAAGACCTGAGTTTAAATATGGGCAAGTCACTTAACCGCTGTTTGCCTTAATCCACGGAGAAGGAAATGGCAAAGCACTCCAGTATCTTTGCCAAGAGAACTCCATGGATAGCATAGTCCATGGTGCCATGAAGAGTCGGACATGACTGAATGACTGAACAATAGCCAGTTATGGGTTTCATTAAACTTCTACTCCTGGTTCTCATTTCAGTCACCAGACCCATGACTGGGTGTTCTCCAAGGCCTGGATGTTGGGATCTGTCTCTCCTCTAGCCTGTTTTTCTTAAGCTACAAAATGAAGGATGAAATAGTGTTTCTAGCTCTTAGATTTTAATTCTCTCTGTTAACCAGGATTCCATTGCTATCCTGCGGGGTAAAATCTCGGCGCATACTCGTGAGAATGAGGAACAAAACCAACGTATTCGTGACAACAAAGACCTGGTCCACAGGCAGCTTCAGAAACTTAAACAACAAATGATTAAAGCCCGGGAAGAGGCTCGGCACAATCTGGCCAAACTGACATGGGAGAGTAACATTGCCCTCAAAGCCCTGAAAAAAATTGTTGAGAAGGTAGGGACAGAATGGGACTACCTAACCCTTTTCCCCCCATGTTGCCTTTCCCATTCTTCCCTCCCAACATTTTGGCCCTCTCCCCTGTGTTTGTGATCATCAGAAAGGTTTCCCTAGCCCCCTTTCTTAATTCATAGACCCCCTCCCTCCATTCTGCAGGGAAATCTCATCCTCAAACTTGCTGAAATATGTCGGAAGTTTGAGACAGAGGAAGAGAAAGTCCTACCCTTCTATTCCTCAATGTTGACACCAGAAGAACTGCTGCAAGTGGGACACAATGATCATGAAGAGCCTACGATAGAACTGGCTAAGGTGAGTTATCAGGAGAGAGGGCCAGGAGGGAAAGAAAGGTACAGGGGATTCTGGTCAGTGGTCCCAGCATTCACTTTTACCTTTTTTCCCCCTCAACTCCCAGTTGATGGAGAATTACACAGGCTTGGAGAATTTCTGGAAAAGGTATAACAAGGTAAAATTGGAACAATTAAGCCTACAGCGAAAACGGGCCCAACTGCTGGAAACCAATAAGAAGCTGAAGCATATGCTCAAGCAGTACCTGGACGGTATCTCAGTGAATGATGAAGTGCTGAGCCAGCTCAACCCACTCCTTATCATCAACCAATGTAGCAACATCCCCTTACCAGCAACAGACCACTCACAAAAGCAACCTATCCATAACATCACTGAAGCTGCCCATGTGGTATCTCGTATACTGTGACACCTTGTCAATGATGTCCAAAGGGAACCAGCCTCTCCCTAACCCCCAGACACTTTCCCTTAGTCAATAGAAGCTTGATATGAAAGGTTTCCACGAAGATCTTGGGTATGTCATAGCTTTGGGTTTCTTGTGAAGACATTGGTTAGAGTCACACTAAACTATCACTTTCGAGGAAAGAGGGTCATGTACCAGGGATTATAACCCCAATAGATTGAATGTGGCTAGGTGGCTACTAAGAAGTCCACTTATTGTGGCCTTATAGTAGAACCTTGACTTCAGTCCTCAACCTGGCCCCCAAGCAATCTACAGTCCCTGGGAGGCAATAGGCAGCCTCTACCTTCTGGATCTAGATTTTTAATGAGAAAAGCCAAGGTTGAGTTTGGGATGGAAAACAGGACAGCCCCCCTGACTCTACCCACTCTCATCCCACTTACAAAAGCAGCCCAGAAGGAACAGGCGGATATAAGGGAAGAGGTTTTATTTTTTTTTGCTTTTGTTTTTCTTCTCCTCTCTGAGCTTCTTCTTAGAGATCTTGGGGCTGCTGGCTTTGCTGTACAGGTAGTAGCCAATGAGACCCAGGAGGGCTGGTACCAGACACATGCCCAGAAGAGGAAAGAGAGTTTTCACCAGCTTTTGCCAGTAGCTGGCTCGTACCAAGGCGATCAATTCCACCTCAAACTGCAGCACTGCATCCCCTAGGGAGGCAGACAGGGTTTTAGTGTCAGTCACTAGACATATTAGCAGTGAATCAGAACCTGAAGTGAAGATTGGGCCACAGAGAAACCAAGCAAGTAAGGTTAGGAAAACTTTAAAACTTGTGTTCATCATCCCTAAATCTAGAGCTGAAGGAATGACAGGCTATTAGCAGAAAAAGGTGATAACATGATAAAGGGACCTGTTCTGAACCACCTCTAAGGCTAGCCTAGAGCAAGGAATTACCTCAGTACTCTCAAATCTCTTTGCAAATCTAAAAACAACATGGAACTTTGTGTTAGGATCCTCTCTATTCCTCCCTCTCCAAGTACAGCCAAATGGGTGGAATCTTTGCAGCAATTGAAAGTAACTGGAGATAGAAGTGATTTAAATCCCAACTACTGAGTGTGCCCAGTCTGAATGCTAGAATTCCTGTAGGCTCTTCCTAGGAATTGCAGCATATTTCAGTAGAAGAGGGTTAAGAAGGATGAGGAGGGAGAAGAACAGAAAAAGTAGTCAAGCGAGCAGGGAGAGAGGAACGAAGAGAGAGTGGGTTTGGGAGAAGGGGAACAGGGATAGGCAGGATCAAGCTGTGGATAAAGGAGTTTCATCCCAGGCCTATAACCATTTCATTGTCCCTACTCCAGCTTGGAAAGAGGATAAGAACAGTGGCCCAAAACACTCTAGAATATTGTAGCTAACAGAGCAGATGTTACGGTCAGAAGCTGTTTGAATGATACACTCTAGACACTGGCAAGTATTTGCTGAAAGTTTTAAAAATGGTGGCAGTAGTTTCTCACAGAGGGCTTTTTTTTTTAAAACCTGCTTGGATGTGATTGTTTGGGAGAGAAAAGTCACAGATGGGAAAAGTAACATGGGGAAAGGTTTGGGTCATAAGGAAACCATGCATGGGCAAGCAGGCCCTTGTGGCTCTCAGAGGACAAGACTGGCCCCAGCAACCTTGACAGGTTATACTTCTGTTTGTCCTGAGCAGACAAGCTAACAAAGAAGAAGATGTGAAAACTAGAGACTCCCAAAGAACCAACCAAGCCCTTTCAAGGTATAACCTAACTCAGCACTCAGGAACTCAGAATTTGGAGGAATCCTGCTGTGTTTACCTGGGATAGATGGGGGGAATCCGCGTTTTCCATAGGCCAAGTGAGGGGGAATGATTGCCCTTCGCTTCTCTCTAAGGGAGGGAACACAAGTCAAAGCCAGTGGGCAGGAAGGCCTCAAGTCCCGCAGCATTCCCAAAGCCATCCTGATAAGTTATGCTCTATATCCATGGATACACATCCCAAATGAGCTCCATCTCTTCCACCCAGGCACCAAAGAGTGAACAGTCAAAAGCCCAAGCTCTCCAAAATTTCTCTAATAAAATAGTCGAGGAGAAGGGAAGAAATACGGGCAATGGGCCTCCTGTAGGATGTCTCAGTCCTGGCCCCTGGCCAATGTTTATCCAAGGTTTTTTCTTTATTCTCCCCTCCCTAGTTGCTTTATTTTCTACCTCACCCCCTTAGATTGAAATGACTTTCTGCATTTGAGGTTTCGGTAATAGAAAAAGGCAATGTTCCCAGGACTACCCCAACCCAACAATACTCACCCCACACACATGTCCAGCAGGCTCTGTTCCAGGCCTTAGCAATGGCAGGAAAACAACCAGGGAAAAGACACAACTGAATGGATATGTAAGTGGAGTCGAAGATTCTCTCACTCCTCTTCCCTCAAACATAAAAACCTTGGTTCCCCTCCCTACCCTTTTCAGGTCTCTAACTTGGGATTTAGGAATAGGGGAGAAGGGGTGGAAATAAAGAGTAGATTTTGAATTACAGCCCCCTAGGTTTAAGCATATACTTCAGAATCAGTGTTTTTGTTCTCATTTCATCCCCATAACAAATCTGTTTAGAGAAGTCCAGCATAACTAGGTCCAAGAACCAGTTTCAAAAGCAGTTCTTCTGAATGGGGTGGGGACCACAAGGCATGTAATGTTAACTTCTAAGTCTTTACTTAGGGTGGAACACTGAGAGGTCAAGAACCTTGCCTAGGAACTGCAGCCACGGTGAATCAAAAGAAAAGACTTGACCCCAAATTTTTCTGATTCCTAGGTTATTTCTTACCTAGCCTTAATCACTAAACAGGCATTGCCCCAGACAAACTGAGATGTGGGAAAGACTTTAGCTTAAAAAGGTCAAGGTTTCCCCACTGCATCCAGGACCATCACCAGTCATCCTGACTTATGTCTTGCCATTGGACTCCAGTGATTCTGGAGGAGAGAGTGAGGCTGATGACTTTGCACAGCTCTGCCTCACTTAAATCCGATTCACTTGCAAGTCAAGACATCACCCTCCTGATGTCATTGGTCCTCTTTGAGAACTAGATCGAAGGGCCTCAGGTCAGCAAGAGCTAAGTACAAATCTGGCCTCATACACTTACTAGCTATGTGACTCTGGACAAGTCACTTAATCCTGTTTGCCTCAGTTTCCTCACCTATAAAAAGAGCTGGAGAAGGAAATGGCAAACCACTCCAGTATTTCTGCCAAGAAAACCCCAAATGGGGTCACAAAGAGTTGGACTCAGCTGAACAACAATAACAAAAAAAGGAAATTTGTGACCTGGTCAAGCAATCTAACTCTTCATTTTAACATTGTTTCCTTGAGAGGATAAGAGTTCCAAAGAACCAAATCATGTGTAGTTGGGGTTACTTTATCAGGACATCTCTGATGAATTGATTTCTCCCCAACCCAGCTGATGAAATCACAGAAAATAAGGAGATGGTAAAAGACAGAGAGGGGCTTAGGTCTTTAATTCGTGGCAAGAAGGGCTTACAAGGTGCTATCCCATGCCCCTGGTTGCCCTAAAGATGTTCTCTAAGGTCATAGCTCTCAAAGTGTTGTCCCAGAATCCTGTGGAGGGGAGTGGGATTTGGAAGAGACATTACTCTCATAATAATACCAAGACATACAAAATCAAAAGTTCTTGGGGGGTCTTCAATAATTTTTAAGAGTGTAAAAAAGATCCTGAGACCAAAAAGTTTGAGAACTGATTTAAAGAGGCTGTCTGGGCAGGAAATCATTTTTCAGGAGTGTGACCCCTGGTAGCAGAAAAGATATTTGAAAAAGACATAGGAAGAAGGGTGTAGAGGAAGAATTTCTGTCTTTTCCCCACGCCTTTAAAATCACAACTTTTTGTCCAGTAGGAAATGCTGTGCCCAGCATTCAGAGCAGGGGACTACTCTAAAGAGTCTGACTTTGGGGAGTCTAGAGAGGTTAACGGGGTCTGGGTGAGGGGCCTGCCCAGTGAGACCTTGTACCAAGGGACAGTAGTTTGAAGATATCATACCACAAGAAGAGAAATGACATCAAGCCCTGCAGTGCCAGAGGATTAAATTGCCTTGGCCTAATTCATGGGCTCCCTAGGTGTGCGCCTCTTTAGTGTACGGTGTGGGTGTGCACGGCCCCTTGCCCACTATTCTTTACTGTGTGTATTGGTGATACACCCCCAGGTATATGGAAGGGGGATGGGAGTGCCTTGTTACTCCTGTCCTCAAGATGCCACCTCAGTAAATGCCTTTGCTTTGAGCTAATTGGATATGTTGGTTATTAAAAGTAAGTGTAATTCTTTGTTTTATGGGAATGCTCTCTGGGAGGTAGGGGGAAGAAGAGAGATACAGGGGGAATGCAAACAAAGCTTACTGCTGGGTCTGGCAGTAGGAGGTGCTTAATAAATGCTTGTTGACTGACAATTTAGGCAACGTAAAAACAAAAATATCAATAAAAATTTGTTTTAAAAAAAGGCAAATGCATTCAAGGAATATAATTTTAGAAGTACAGTGCCACATAGTACTTTGGAATTTAGGGTAATTGCTATATATAAATATATTTTTAGGAACTCAACTTAGTCTTTAAGTTACGGTCTGCTGGTTAAGTGTTTAGAGAATGCAGAATGATAGGACTGAAGGGCAGCTAGGTGGTGCAGTGGATAGGGCTCCAGCCTTGGAGTCAGGAGGACTTGAGCTCAAGTATGACCTCAGACACATGACACTCACTAGCTGTGTGACCCTGGGCAAGTCGCTTAACCTCAATTGCCTCACCAAAAAGGCAAAAAACAAATAAATACAGAATGATAGGACTGACAGAGACTTAGAGGGCTTAATTCAGAAGGCTTGCAGAGGGAGGCTTTTGGAGTTTTGTTTTTTAGCAGGAAGGAATCATGAATTGGTAAGTTAAAAGAAAGTACAGGACTCATGGACCCATGGAGAGGCTTCCCTTTCCTCCATATAGCTGAACGTTTGTTTTCTGTCTCCTAATCCTTATGCATTCCACAATCTTGAAAAGACAGCCTTGGAATGAATTCTTCCTACGCCGATGAAAACCCAGGAAAATGAGATTAGGCCAAGGTCAGTGACCCTCTGGATAATAGCAAGGTTCTAAAGATCTTATGATGAGCTCCTGAACCCCACAGGAAGGGGGGGGGGTGGCAGGAAAGAGGGGGAAGGTCCAGATTTATAGGCGATTCTCCCCAGATAAAAGGAAGCCTGATTTCTGTTTCCTTGAAAGTGATCAAGAAGTCATGGTGAAGTGTAGAAAAAGGAAACCAGGCAGCAAAATTGTGGCCCAGGGGTTCTGTGCACTCCTGAGTGAAAGCAGAGATCATGCAGCCTGTGATTGCCAGTATATGTAAATGTGCTCCTGTTTATCAGTCTTTTTGGAATTCACCCACCCTTTTTCTCTCCTGTCCCCATTACTCACGTCTTGTCTACCGTTATCTCTAACTGTCTGCCCTCTAGTCTTACCAGCCCAGCTTTCTCTTCTGAGAACAAAGGTGTTATGTGTTGATGGGGTGTAGGGTGTGGGGGGCAGGGCAGAGCAGGGTTCTTTACAGTGACTGGTTGTCTACAATCCCCCTTGCTTTCTGATAAAATTGCCCCATACTAGAATGCGTCAGGCCTTAAGAGGCCACTTCTGCCCAAAATTAGAGAGGTAGAAAGTTGAGGCTTCTTTCAGTAACCTACATTCCTTCTTCTCTCCCACCCCACCCCCTCCCACATTGCTTTGGGGTTTCTGGGTTGGGGCCCAATGGGGCTTCTCTTCTTTTGGATGGGTGTTTCCTCTCCCCATTGTCTCTGGTCAGGAGTTGGAAGGTCTTGTTACCATGGAAACCACTGGGTATTTAATTACTGGAGAGCTCGGCCTTTTACTGGCCTAGGCTACCCAAGGCCATTCTAACCCCTTCCTTCCACCACCTCTGTAAGATGGGGGGAGGGAGGAGGAGGAGCACAGCACTGCTACCATAGGCTCCTACTTGGCATTCCTGTCTCCATTCTTACCCATCTTCCAGTCCTCAGACCTGGCTGGAATCGCCTCCCCAGAGGAGTCCTGGCAAACTTGAAGATTCAGAGCAATATATAGTTTGGGGTATGGAGGAAGCAGGCAATTGTTGCACCTTATTTCCTGTTCTGGCTCAAGGAAGTGTATATCCAGTATACCACCAGTCATATATTGACTAATAGAAATGGAGGGGCAGGGGATAAGATTTCCTGTTCTGGGCCCTTCCAGTCATTCCACTGTATCAAACTGGGGCCGGGGTGGGGGGGGGCCCTGGAGAGAAATGGAAAGAGAAAATCAGAGATGGCAATTCTTTCAGACCTCCCACTTTCTCCTGGCCCAAACCGATGTACTCAGTGACTAAGCTGCCCACTCCCCTCCCAACCCAGACTTCCAAATCTTTGTCTTGGATCCCTGCCCTTTCCCTCCTCCAACCACCCGCACAACCCTGCCCCAACACTGCCAGAAAGTGTTCTAGGTCCTTATCAGAAGCTGTTAGTTCCAAGGACTCAGTCACTGTATGGAATTTCCAAAGCCAGGTCATTTCAGTTATCCCAGTTTCTGAAATTCTGGCCTCATATTTCTCAGCTGTTTCCATAGCCACGTTGCCTCTTTTCTTGAGTCTGTGTCTTCCCTTTTCACGGTATTTTTAGACAATGGAAGAAAGCACATTCAGCTCAGACATCCAGATGCTTCCCATTTTTCATAGGAAAGAAGGGGCATCTTTTATCTTTCTCTACCAACATGTTAACATTACCTGTTACGGTAAATGCTCTGCCTTACAGTTTTTCCAGACTTAACTTCAATATCTCCCTTCTTAATTAATTTTAATTATTATAGTGTATATTATATTAACATGTTTTATATTATTATGTATTATATATAATTATTATTATATAATTGTGTTATATTATTATCATCTTAATTATTACTTAATTCACCCTCAGCACTGATATTATACAATGTTGCCCTACAGCACATTAATATACACTTTGTTTCTCTGTCTCTTGGCCTTATTGTGTCAGTCAAAAAGTATTTATTAAGCATTTACTATACACCAGGCATACAGTAAGCATCAGGTTCAATGAATGAACAAGAAAGCATTTATTAAGCTCTTACTATGCAATAGGCAGCTAGGTGACACAGTAGATAGAGCGCAGGGGGCCTCAAAGAACTATCAATCTAACGGGGTAGGTGGGTGGAGGGGAAGGGAGGAGACAGCACACCAAAAGAAGCTGAAAAAGGGGAAAGAGGAAAGTACTCGGTGCCCAGGACATGATGAAGTCCAAATGCATGCAACCTGGCAGGAAATGGAGAAATGGCCAGCCTGGGTAACCTCCTTAAATGGAGCTTCTGATAGGGGCTCTATGCTCCACCCAATCAGAGGGACTCCAGGGGTACAGGGTACTGATGAAGGTACTGTTTGAGTACCAGTAGATTTCTGGACTTGAAGTTAGGAAGATCTGAGTTCAAATCCAGCCTCAGATACTTACTAGCTATGTGAGCCTGGGCAAATCACTTAACCTCTATTTCCCTCAGTTTCCTCAATTGTAAAATGGGGATAAGAATAGTTCTTAAAATTAGAATTAAATGAGATAATATTTGTAAAGTGCTTAGCACAGTGGCTGGCACATAGTAGGAACTATATAAATGCTTATTCCCCACTGTGTGCCAAGAACTGGGGACACAAATATAAAGGCAAAACAGCCCTTGGTCTTCAGGAGTTCATACTCCAGTAGAGAGAGACAACACATGTAGGAAGGAGGTTTCAGCTGCAGGACAGACAGGAAAGCTGCAGTGGTCCTAGAGTTTATAAGAACAAAGCAAATTTTATTTTAACATTTTAATTTAAAGTTTTGAGCTCCAAATTCTATCCCTCCCTCCCTTCCTCACCTTCTCCCTCC